TCTCTATAAACATGTACATCCTGAAGTCTACTCAACAGTCTTTTATCTACCAATACATAATCCAACAAACTACTGTCATTTCGCCCTACATCATATCTTGTATACTTATTTATCCTCTTTTTCTTAAAATATGTATTACCTATAACTAAACCCCTTTCTATACAAAGTTCAATCAAAGGGCTCCCATTATCATTTACACCTGGCACCCCAAACTTACTACCACACCTCTCTAAAAGTTTCTCCTACTTTAGCATTCAGGTCCCCTACCACAATTACTCTCTCACTTGGTTCAAAGGCTCCTATACATTCACTTAACATCTCCCAAAATCTCTGTCTCTCCTCTGCATTCCTCTCTTCTCCAGGTGCATACACGCTTCTTATGACCCACTTCTCGCATCCAACCTTTACTTTAATCCACATAATTCTTGAATTTACACATTCATATTCTCTTTTCTCCTTCCATAACTGATCATTTAACATTACTGCTATCCCTTCTTTTGCTCTAACTCTCTCAGATACTCCAGATTTAATCCCATTTATTTCCCCCCACTGAAACTCTCCTACCCCCTTCAGCTTTGTTTCGCTTAGGGCCAGGACATCCAACTTCTTTTCATTCATAACATCAGCAATCATCTGTTTCTTGTCATCCGCACTACATCCACGCACATTTAAGCATCCCAGTTTTATAAAGTTTTTCTTCTTCTCTTTTTTAGTAAATGTCTACAGGACAAGGGGTTACTAGCCCATTGCTCACGGCATTTTAGTTGCCTCATACGACACGCATGGCTTACGGAGGGAAGATTCTTTTCCACTTCCCCATGGACAATAGAAGAAATAAAGAAGAACAAGAGCTATTTAGAAAAAGGAGAAAAACCTAGATGTATGTATATATATATGCATGTGCGTGTCTGTGAAGTGTGACCAAAGTGTAAGTAGGAGTAGCAAGATATCCCTGTTATCTAGCGTGTTTATGAGACAGAAAAAGAAACCAGCAATCCTACCATCATGCAAAACAGTTACAGGTTTTGTTTCACAGTCATCTGGCAGGACGGTAGTACTTCCCTGGGTGGTTGCTGTCTACCAACCTACTACCTAAACCAACCTACTACCTAAGTTATCAACCATAATTCATTCCAGAAGGGCGGCCTAAGATTGAAATGGCCAAAAACCAAAATAATATTTCCCATAAGAATAAATGGAAATACAATTAATCCATTCCAGACAAAAATAGTCACAAAAAAATATTTTTTTAACAATTATGTAAGTATTACATACCTTTATTGAAGACTAATGCTGGCTTCTGGAGGATAAGGAGGAAGAAAGAGGGAGGAGTTCGTGTTTGTAATGGGAATTCCCCTTCATAAAGACTTCAGGTAGCAAAGCCATCTCTGGGGTTACATCCCTTCTTTGTCTTTTAATGCCACTAAGACCAGCTTGAAAATCACTGAACCTTTGTCACAACAAATCTGTCCATAGAGGTCTGTTTCTGGCATCTCTTTAAGATTTCCCTGAAGTGGTACAGGGTTTTGTCGCTGAACATGTTGCAGATATGACTTGTTTCAGCTTGATCAGGGTGGTATTTTTCTACAAAAGCTTGCACCCTAGTCCACACTGCACACATCTCTTTAATCTCTGAAGAAGGCACCTCCTCCACTCCCTCTTCCTCCTCCTCTGAAGCAAGTTCCTCAGCTGCAGTCTGTTACTGTTTGAGTTGAAGCTCTTACAACTCTTCAGTGGTTAGCTCATCTCTCTGGTCCTCCACCAACTCTTCCACATCCTTGCCACTCACTTCCAACCCCAGGGACTTCCCAAGTGCTACAATAGAGTCCACATGGTTGGCAGGGTCAGGATCAGCCTCAAACCCTTCAAAATCCCTTTCTAGGACACAACCTGGCCACAATTTTCTCCAAGCAGAGTTCCAAGTCTTGGAGGTTACTCCCTCCCAAGCCTTACCTATAAAGCTTATGCAATTGAGGATACTGAAGTGATTCCTCCAGAACCCTCTTAGGGTCAACTGAGTGTCTGAGATCACTTCAAAACACTTTTGAAACATTGCTTTTGTATAGAGTTTTTGAAGTTAGAAATGACCTGCTGGTCCATGGGCTGGAGGAGAGGAGTAGTGTTAGGAGGCAAGAACTTCACTTTTATAAACCTGAAATCCCTAAACACTTGGTCTACCAAGTCTGGAGGATGTGCAGGAGCAGTGTCCAGTATCAGGAGGCACTTGAGTGGCAAATTCTTTCCAAGGAGATATTTTTTCACACTTGGGCCAAACACATCATTAACCCACTCTTTGAAAATTTACCTTGTTACCCATGCCTTATGTTTAGCTTTCGACATCACACACAATCTATTCTTGATAACATTGCTTTTCATGAACACTCTGGGATTTTCTGAGTGATACACCAGTAAAGGTTTCACTTTGAAATCCCCACTAGCATCACCACACAACAAAAGAGTAAGCCTGTCTTTCACAGGCTTGTGTCCTGGCAGTGCCTCTTCCTCCTGTGTGATGTAGGCCCTGTTTGCCATTTCCTTCCAAAACAGGCCTATTTTGTCACAATTGAACACTTGTTGGGGTTTGAATCCTTCAACCTTCACAAAGTCCTTGAATTCCTGTACATTCTTTTCAGCTGTACATTTATCAGAACTTGTAGCCTCTCTATGCCTTACAACACTGTATGCCACTACACTTCTTAAATCTCTCAAACCAGCCTTTGCTGGCCCTAAAAAAATCACTACCAGCAGCACTTGTTCCAGGAGTTTTCCGTAGAAGTTCCTCATGTAACAGCCTTGCCTTCTCACAAATAATAGATTCCATAACACTGTCTCCCACTAATTGTTTTTTCTTAATTCACAATAACAACAACTTTTCCATCTGTTCCATTATTGGTGACCGTTGTTTCGTTAGAAAAGTTAATCCTTTTCCAACATCAGTATCCTTGATTTGTTCTTTCTTTGCCAGGATAGATGTAATTGTTTATTTCTTTTCCCTATACATCCTGGCAAGTTCCAGCACCCACATACCACTCTCATATTTTTCAATCACTTCATGCTTTAAACTCGATGGTGTTTCTCACCTTTTTTACCACAGGAACTTTCTTTGGAGCCATGGTTACTTATTTTGCAGTTGCACTGCAAAAAAAAAAAAAAAAAAAAAAAACAATGGAAAACAAGCAAAATGTTGGGATGTATGAACAGAAGCTTCCTCATGCACCGAGAGACACAGCCATACTGATGTGCAAGTGGCCCCAGCTGGTGGATGGATGGGTCCCCAATGGTCGATCACAAAAATAATGGCCAATCACTGGGAGCCGAAAAACTGGCCGATCACCAAGTTGGTAGATAACAGGAACAGCCGTTCCGAGGGTCCACTGTAATTAAAATTGTACGTCTTCTCTACTAGAATTATTAAAGCCACATAGCATTACCCAAGAGGATACTCAGTTCTCTTGTATTCATTGTAACTCATATAATGACCATATGAACTGTTATTGTCTTATTAATCTTAAGTTAATTTTAAGTTTGCCCAAAATGCTCTGCATACAAAGGGGCTTTTGGCATGTACACCCAACTATTATTCTCCTTTTTACAAACGTGTACAGTGAACCCTCGACCAACAATATTAATCCGTTCCAGAGAGCTTATCTTTAGGTGACTTTATCGTTAGTCGAATTAATTTTCTCTATAATGGAAATCCAATTAATCCATTCCAGACAGCCAAAAGAATTAAAAAAAATTTTTTTTTTTCATGAAATATACATTTCCCTACAAAGAAAACAATGAGACATGAACAATAACTACATAAATAAATGCTAAAATGACACTTACCTTTATTGAAGAGTATTGATGAGTGATGAGACAGTTTTTCTTGAACACTCTGGGATTTTCAGAGTGATACATGAGTAAAGGCTTCACTTTGCAATCCCTACTAGCATTACAATAAAACATGAGAGTTAGCTTGTCTTTCATAGGCTTGTGTCCTAGGTGTGCCTTTTCCTCCTGAGTAATATAGGTCCTGTTTTGCATTTTCTTCCAGAACAGGCTTGCTTCATCACAATTGAACACTTTTTGGGGTTGGAGTTTTTCAGCTTTTCCATGCCTTATCACACTGTGTATGCCAGTATGATTCTTAAATCTCTCAAGCCAACATTTGCTGACCTTAAATTCAACAATATGAGCACTAGTTCGAGGTATTTTTTCCTGTTCACTTGGGTGTTAGTCGACTGGTGTGGGTCGCATCCTGGTGGACAAGATTAAGGACCCCAATGGAAATAAGTTAGACAGTCCACGATGATGCACTGACTTTCTTGGGTTATCCTGGGTGGCTAACCCTCCGGGGTTAATTGTTTCTCAGTGATTGTTTCTCGTTAAGCCACATCAACAACACTCTCTCTACAAATTCGAGTAGTAAAGCTGATGGTGGTACAGCAGCAGCTGACAGTGGTGCAGCAACAGCTGATGGTGGCGAAGGAGCAGCAGCTGACGGTGGTGTAGCAACGGATGACCATGGTACGATAGTATTTCAATAGCATTTCTCACCCTTTTTATCACAGGGTTGGCACTAGAAGCTTTCTTTGGGCCCGTGGTGGATTATTTAGCAGTTACAAGCAATAAAAACAATGGAATAATACAAAATATATTGCATGTGTGCGTGAAACCGTCCACCCTGGCTTGTAAACAATGGCACACTAGATGAAGGCAGGACAGCTGAGGCGTGCTCAGCTGGACAGACAGGCAGACACATTTGGGACGAATGCTGTTAGTTGAGTTTTTCATCGTTGGTCAGGCCAAAATTTTTATGCTAAAACGCTTTGTTGGGCGATTTTTTCGTTAGATGATGCCTTCATTGGTCTGGGGTCCACTGTATCATGTCAAATCAAAATATCATTATTATAAGAAATATTTATATCTAATGATTACCTTGCAAATAAATGATGAGCAAAGGCAGGTATCAGATATAAATGAGTGAAAATATCCAAATATAAAAATTAACTTACCATCCTCAAAGGCCCTTGAGTGAAACTTTGCTGTCGGTGGAACTGAGTGCGATGTGGTCAGTGGTCCAGCAGTGGGACTGGCCAAGATGTTGCTTGTGGTCAGTGGTCCAGCAGAAGAACTGGCCAAGAAGTTACCTGTGGTCAGTGGTCCAGCAGTAGGACTGGCCAAGATGTTGCCTGTGGTCAGTGGCCCGGCAGTGGGACCGGGCAGCAAGTTGCTTGTGGTTGGTAATCAATGGGTACTGGATGTAATGCTCCCTGTGTTGGGATAAACATCTTTAATTGTACTTAATACAGACAATTATTTATTATAAATAAAGAAAGGTTAACCCTTAAACTGTCCAAATGTAGATCTACACTCGCTCGCGTGGCGCTCCGAACATGGATCTATGTTCGATTTTACATGCTTTCTTGTGTAAAAAAAGGTAGATCTACGTTTGGAGTGCTACTTGAGTGAGCGTAGATCTATGTTTGGACAGTTTAAGGGTTAATTTGCAGGTTTATGTTCCATGGGCATCATGAATTATGAATACCAAATTTTTCTCATTACTACAACTGAAATTTTTCAGTTTCTAAATATGCTTCTCTTATTTACTGATTCTGCAGCTGTTGAATATAAATAAAGATTACACCACATACAGTGAGGAATGTTGTAACAAACAATTTATACAACAAATATTTATATAAACATTAATTCTCTCCTCTGCCTCCTGTCCTGCAAGCTCAGCAACATGAAACTAGGATAAAATACAGTATTTTTTTATTATTTTTGTACTAATTTGTTTTATTACAAATGTTAATGGTTGATCAGGCTCTGATCCACCAGGAGGCCTGGTCACAGACCGGGCCGCGGGGGCATTGACCCCCGGAACTCTCTCCAGGTAAACTCCAGGTATTCTTTATTTCTAGAGTTTAGATGCACATTTATGCATTTTTCACAATTTTATATTATATTTTTCATTGTTATGTGGTTATATTATAGCATACCTCACTGTACATAGAATACAAGTACTATAAACTGAATTGTATATCAAGTACTATATACAGTAGGGCCCCGCTTTACAATGTTTTGTCTTACGGCATACTGTTAATACAGCGATGTCAAATTATGAAAAAAATTTGCTATATGGCAAGCGGTGTTTCAAATTCAGAATGCCTCACCTGGTTTTTTCCATTCTCTGTGACTACATCTGTTATGTCTGGGAACTTTCCAAAATTTCAAGTATTTTAAACCTTTCAGGGTTTCCGACGTACTAGTACGGCTTACACACCAGGGTTATTCACGTACTAGAACGCCTAAACTCTAGCGCCTTCAAATCTAGTGAGAGAAAGCTGGTAGGCCTACATATGAAAGAAGGGGTCTATGTGGTCAGTATGCATAGTACAAAAAAATCCTGCAGCACAGTGCACAATGAGAAAAAACAAACTCCGACCGTGTTTTAGGATTAAAAGTGACTTTGCAGTGTATTATCATATGGTATTTATGGTGGTATTCTAGTTTTCCTGATCTCATTTTATAGAATGGAAGACATATTACAGAAACAGAGATGATTTTGATTGGTGTCATAATGAAAAGTACCTTGAAATTGAGCTCAAAGTAGCAGAAACGTTCTATTTTTACCAAATTTCAAAAGTAAACAAATCATGTCAAGCGTCCAATACATGTCAACTGGTGAGTCTAATATTCTTTCACAAGTGCACTGATATTATTTATACCATTTCGACACCATTTCTACACTAATGCAGTAGTTTGCATAAGAGTAAATCTTCTATTTTTTTGTGAGAATAAAAATTCAAAATCAAAAGCAAAAGAGATGCAAGAAGGGCCTGGAGACATAACTAATGAACAGAGAAAATGTTATTTTAGTGTCAGGAATGTCTGTCTTGCTTTTTCTGGACCCTGTTTGGAAATTGCCATCTTCTGAAATCTGTGTGTAAATGGCAAAATTGCCAATTTCTGACCACTTTATTGCATATTTGAAATCAGTAAATGGGTGATTTCTTGTATTCATTCGATAGAAAAGATGGAGTTCTAGTGAAATAGATATGATTTTTGTCGACTAGTACACTGAAATTGGCCAAAAGCAGAGCTCAAAGTGGGCGAAATTGCCGATCGGTCAACTTCGTTGAGACCGCTAACTTTGCGAGAGCTTAATTCCGTAACTTTTCCATCAAATTTCATACTTTTGGTGTCATTATGATCGGGAAAATATTCTCTGTCATTTCATAAGAAAAATTAATTTTTTTTCCAAATATATATCAACCCTGAGATGAGTTTAGGAGAGGGCCTCCCCAACGTTTTAACGGGGCGTATTTTAAAATGTACTCTGATAATTATACTTATTGTACCTGTACAGGTACATCTGACTTACAACCGAGATGGGTTCCGACAAACCGGGTCGTAAGTCGAAATGGACGTGAGTTAAACATTACTACTGAAAATGAACATCATGGTTTTGTAATGACTTTATTTTATTGTTTTATTTTGGTATTTAATTTTTTACCTTTACTTTTTATGCTGTTAGTACTGTATTTTATACTGAAAGGTTTAGGATAAACACTGTACAACACAGACAGTTGTTTTTTTTCCCAGAAATTGGCATAGAAAACACGGTCATAAGTCAAATGGTCGTATGTCGAGCAGGTCATAAGTCGGATGGTATGTGTACCTAAATATATTTACACACTGTGCTGGTGGGGCAGGTACACATTAAAATCACTAAGATCTCTCAGCTCATGACACCAATACTACATAATAATCACTCTTGGGCACATCAAATCCCTTTTTTTTAACATTAATATTAACCTTTTCATTAATCCATCTATGATATTTTCCTCAGAATTATATAAGAAACACGTTTCACAGCATATAAACATTATACATACACTAGCAGAATAAAAATTGACGTATAAGATTTGTTTACAAAGCGGCTGTGTAAGTAGTGTCGGAAGAATTACGTTTTCTCTAGTCAAACACTGGGGGATAACTATAGAAAAATATTAGTTTTGTATGCCTTCACTCTAAATATAGCAATTCACAACCCTTGTGGGTTTAGTGCTTTTTAACTATGATAATAGCAATAATATCTTCATTTGCTCTAAAAATGGTGTGTTGCATGAGATTGGGAGTGTTGCTGTTTGTTTATTCTGAACTAACTTGTACAACCAGGCCCGGTGGCCTGGTGGCTAAAGCTCCCGCTTCACACACGGAGGGCCCGGGTTCGATTCCCGGCGGGTGGAAACATTTCGACATGTTTCCTTACACCTGTTGTCCTGTTCACCTAGCAGCAAATAGGTACCTGGGTGTTAGTCGACTGGTGTGGGTCGCATCCTGGGGGACAAGATTAAGGACCCCAATGGAAGTAAGTTAGACAGTCCTCGATGACGCACTGACTTTCTTGGGTTATCCTGGGTGGCTAACCCTCCGGGGTTAAAAATCCGAACGAAATCTTATTTTATCTTAACTTGTACACAATGTAAGAGTATTTGTATTGTGAGGAAATTTAAATTATTATAATAAAAAATATTTTGGGGTAAAAGTTTTACAAAGTCTTACAAAAGTATGTGAATGAACTAAAAGTAGACACATATTAATACGCATTTATTTTGCCTGACCATGTGATTGCCAACTACCTGTTCATCCATACCCCCGGCTGGGATTAAACCCGCGTCATAGAGTCTCAAAACTCCAGCCCATCACGTTAGCCACTAACCACTAGCCACATTTTTGTGTTCTTACATTGTTGGAACTCTATCTCTTTCTCTCTCTCTTTTAAACTCTTTCGTTGACTAATGGCTCTCATTGACGATGGCGTCTAAGCTTAGCTGGACAAAAAGAGGAGTAGTAAGCCTCTTGCTTTAAGTGCCAAGTTAGAGGATGATGGTGTGCCATTCTGATTTTATTCAATAAATACCCTGCCACTCACCTCTCACATTAATATTAATATTTTAAGGTGAGTAATAAGTGTACTCTGTGTGTATCTTACCGTTTATTGTGTTTTAATGCCTATTTTTATTGTTAACCCTTTAAAATAAGTTAGTGTAAACTTGTTGTCTGGGATTTATTGCATAATTTATATGTACTATGATAATAATACTTTTGAACCTATGTGGTAGCCGGGGAGAGGGACAACATTTCGTTTTCTCTTGGGCAGGCAGCAGAGAAAACGTGTATGAATCTGTGTTTGGCCCAGCCACTCCCCCACTCCACTTTTTGTTACAATTTTTGACATGAATTATTCATTACTTCTCCCTTTTTTTATGATGGCATTTTAAAGGTAGTAGAAATGATTAAATTCAGTGAACAAGGGATGTCAATGCTAATAATAAAGGCTCGGGTCACGGTGTAGGTAGCCAGTAGGTGTAGCCCAGGTGGGCTACACCTATCGGCTACCTACACTGACTTCCTACAAATAAATACTACTCACCTCTCTTCCTATATTAAGACTACACATATTTAAGGTAAATAAATGAGTGTACTGTATGTGTATTTTAACTCTCTGGGCTGTTTTATAAGTTGTATATTAAGTATGAGATGGGGAGCCAGGGCTACCTACACCTGACTTCCTACAAACAAGTACTACTCACCTCTCGCCTTACATTAAGATTACAAATACTTTTAAAATAAGTAAAGAATGGTACTGTGTATGTATTTTTACTTTGTGTGTTTTTAATACCTAGTTCTATTACTAACTTAATATAAATTTAAATGTAAACTTCTTGTCTGGCATTTATATGCATTTATAAATGGAAAAAATTGAGTTCTGCTTTCCGGCAATGTCTGCTTTTTTGGCAATGTCTGCTTTCCAACGATAGCCTGGAACCTAACCCGCCGTTATAAGTGGGCAATGTCTGCTTTTCCAACCCATAGCCTTGAACCTAACCCACCATTTAAGTGGGGGCAAAGTCTGCTTTCCCAAAGATAGCCTGAAACCAACCCACCATATAAGTGGGCAATGTCCTGCTTCCAACGAAGCCTGGAACCTAACCCACCATATAAGTGGGGCAATGTCTGCTTTCCAACGATAGCCTGGAACCTAACCCACCATATAAGTGGGGCAATGTCTGCTTTCCAACGATAGCCTGGAACCTAACCCGCCATATAAGTGGGGTCCTACTGTACAATTTTAATGGTGGTATTAAATATGGAGTGTAAACAAAGAGCTTCAATGTTGCTGTTCATCTCAAGTAAACATCTGTATCTGATGAACCATCTTCCTGTGTCTGCCACACCATCTGTATCTGATGAACCATCTTCCTGTGTCTGCCACACCATCTGTATTGATGAACCATCTTCCTGTGTCTGCCACACCATCTGTATCTGATGAACCATCTTCCTGTGTCTGCCACAACATCTGTATCTGATGAACCATCTTCCTGTGTCTGCCACCCATCTGTAAACTGATGAACCATCTTCCTGTGTCTGCCACAACATCTGTATCTGATGAACCATCTTCCTGTGTCTGCCACACCATCTGTATCTGATGAACCATCTTCCTGTGTCTGCCACAACATCTGTATCTGATGAACCATCTTCCTGTGTCTGCCACACCATCTGTATCTGATGAACCATCTTCCTGTGTCTGCCACACCATCTGTATCTGATGAACCATCTTCCTGTGTCCCGCCACACCATCTGTATCTGATGAACCATCTTCCTGTGTCTGCCACAAACCCTCTGTAACTGATGAACCATCTTCCTGGTCCCGCCACACCATCTGTATCTGATGAACCATCTTCCGTGTCTGCCACACCATCGTATCGATGAACCATCTTTTCCCGTGTCTGCCACACCATCTGTATCTGATGAACCATCTTTCCCGTGTCTGCCACAAACCCTCTGTATCTGATGAACCATCTTCCTGTGTCTGCCACACCATCTGTACTGATGAACCATCTACCTGTGTCCGCCACACCATCTGTATCTGATGAACCATCTTCCTGTGTCTGCCACAAACCCTCTGTATCTGATGAACCATCTTCCTGTGCTGCCACACCATCTGTATCTGATGAACCATTCCGTGTCTGCCACACCATCTGTATCTGATGAACCATCTTCCTGTGTCCTGCCACACCATCCCGTATCTGATGAACCATCTTCCTGTGTCTGCCACACCATCTGTATCTGATGAACCATCTTCCTGTGTCTGCCACACCATCTGTATCTGATGAACCATCTTCCTGTGTCTGCCACACCATCTGTATCTGATGAACCATCTTCCTGTGTCTGCCACACCATCTGTATCTGATGAACCATCTTCCTGTGTCTGCCACACCATCTGTATCTGATGAACCATCTTCCTGTGTCTGCCACACCATCTGTATCTGATGAACCATCTTCCTGTGTCTGCCACACCATCTAAATCTGATGAACCATCTTCCTGTGTCTGCCACACCATCTGTATCTGATGAACCATCTTCCTGTGTCTGCCACACCATCTAAATCTGATAAACCATCTACTTGTGTCTGCCACACCATCTATACCTGATGAACCATCTACCTGTGTCTGCCACACCATCTACAACTGATGAACCATCTACCTGTGTCTGCCACACTATCTACAACTGATGAACCATCTACCTGTGTCTGCCACACCATCTACAACTGATGAACCATCTACCTGTGTCTGCCACACCATCTACAACTGATGAACCATCTACCCGTGTCTGCCACACCATCTACAACTGATGAACCATCTACCCGTGTCTGCCACACTATCTACATTGTTACTGTAAAGTTCCTCTGAGTCACAATAAGCTATTCTACATCACCACTAAACCACACACCAATATTTTACTTTGCTGTACATGTTACTTCATTTATCCACCGGAAAAGATAATAAAATTATTGTACTGTACTCTACCTCATTGTACTGTGTTAATACTTTTAGACTTTTCACTGTCCACACCCCATAATTAATAATGCTCTCAGTGTCCACTTTTTTTTTTTAAGGAAAAAAAAATCTCCCAAAATGGAAGATAATTTTTACTGAAGGTAATGACGTGAAAAGTATGAAATTTGATGGAAAACTTTGAGTTTTATGCATATGCAAAGTTTGTGAACCTGGTACAATTTACACATTAGCAATTCACCCAATTTGAGTTCTAGTTTAAGGCAATTCCACTCTTCCATTCAACCAAATTCAATATTACTAGCAAGTTTACTCAGGTATACACAAATAGTTATATAGATTATCATACATAGCAGTATATGTGTAGGGAACCTGGGATGACCCAAAAAAGTCAGTGTTTGAGCACAAAGAACTGCCATTCAACTATTACAACTACACTATAAAGTCCACAGAAATCGGTAATCTGGCCAAGTTTACACAAAAATAAAAAATGACAATTTTTAAACACAGTCCGAAATATTCAATGTAGATATTCTTGGCACTAAAACAAAATTTTCCCCTGTTCATTATTCACATTCCCAGCACCATTCTTTATTAAACTTGTTTTCCATGTTAAATTCATAATCACACAAAAAATAATGATTTACTCTATTTCTTGGATAACAGAATATAACCAGGAATTATTGGTTACAGTTTATGGCATCCCAATAATTGAATCAGAACTATGAAAAACCCATAAAACAGAGAAGTGGGTTAGGGGGACCTTACCAGTCCTCAGAATATTTTTGTCAATTTCAAGCTACTTCCAGTCCTGAAAACAACCTAGAAAGCTAGCATGGACATGATGAGCTCTAGCTTAAGTCCCCTCAAAACCGTCAACATGACTCACGAAATCATAATGACATGACTGCAAACATACCATACCACAGGCGGGTTTAGAACCTGCACCATACTAGCTGGAGATTTGTCTGTAAAAACTTGCATTTGTAGACACAATGGTGCCTATGCTAACCTTCCTATGGTGTATAAATATACCTAGTTGGATGACTCTTATTGTCACTTGCTGGTCCAGTGGCTAATGCATTGGTGTGGAGTTTTATGACTCTCTGATCACGGGTTCTTAACCCGCCCATGGTATGGTTTCTTTGCAATTGTGTCATTGTGATTTCATGAGTCTCACCTTGTACTCTGTTGCCAACTTCCCTCTAATTCTCACCTTGTACTCTGTTGCCAACTTCCCTCTAATTCTCACCTTGTACTCTGTTCCCAACTTCCCTCTAATCCTCACCTTGTACTCATTTAAGATCTTCCTACAATAATAAAAGTGAATCATTCTTCTCTATCCCATAACATCTACAATAGGAAGTGCACCATAGAAACTAGCAGGGAAAACTTACTGGATACTTAACGAAACTATTAAAAACTGTAAGAATTTCACACCTCAAGAACCCAAGGAAACTGTTGTCCAGACTTGTTTGTATCAGCATGAACAAGAAATAAGATCACTCTGATCACTCACATCCCCATAGAACAGACTGTGCAATTTCTCAAGACTAATATTTTGCCACACATGGACCATCCTCTTCTAACCCTGAACTTCACACAACCAGTAGATATGTGAAAGGTTCAATTTCTTCTCTTTCAATTTAGTATTCTCTCAAAAACAGAGCATAGCATTGTGATCACCCCATTGTGATCAGTATTTCAACTTTAACCTTGTTCTAGCCAAGGACTCTAAAGTAACAGCTATAACTAAACAAACTATAACCAGCAATAACTAAACCAACAAGAAACAACAAGACAGTGTAACCTCAACTGACCATATCTGGACTAACATAATAGCTCCCCTCGAAGCAGGGATAATCACAGACACTGCTACTAATCACTTCCCCACCTTCCCCATAACCAACATATATAAGCTACCACTTGAAACTAATATGATCTCATTTTGTTTCCATGATGAGACAACATTAATTAACTTCATACAGCAGTAATTTTACATTAACTGGCACACACATACATTACTGGTCAAGGGGCACTGGTGATTCTTCTCCAAAAAAATACGAAGCCTTTTCAATGGGCCCTTACCCTATTAAAATTAAGCAGTCACAGTAAAGACCTGGGTAACCATGGTAATAAAATAGTATCCTGAAGTCCATTCATAAAAATATAACTATGAGAAACAGTATGAATTGGGCTTAATAACTAAAGAACAAACCAAACACTATGCATCAGTATTACCAAACTAATAAAGAAGTCTAAACAGCTCTATTGTGCTAAAAGGGTTTAAATGAAATGAGAAGTGATGTGAAAGAACACCTAGAACACACTTTCCCAAATCCTCTGTTCTGGAAAAAACACCAAAACCAGAGATACTGGCCTAACCAAACCCAATGAACCATACATATATCTAACCTACTGAAACAGCCAATATATTAGATGATTTCTTCTCTACCAGTCTTCAAGCAAGTGACTACCTTGTTGGAAGTTTTCTGAACTCCCTCTACCTTATTCCAGCTGATCCATCTGAGGTATCTTTGATAATAAACTCACTGAAAAAAAAAAAAAGGAATCTTAGCACAAATACCACCACTACTGATCAAAATAACAGCTAATGTGCTTTCATCCACCATTGCAACAGCAGTCAACAAATCATCAGAAACTAACACAATCCCAGTAATACTTAACCCTTTCAGGGTCCGTCCCGTAGATCTACGGCTTTACGTTCAGGGTCCAAACCGTAGATCTACGCCATGAGCTCAGCTCACTCTGATAAACTGTGAGTGGTACATTTGGGCCTAGATATGAGAGAATACATCTATGTGGTATGTGTGCACCACATAAAACAGATCCTGCAGCACACTGTGTATAATGAGAGAAAAAAAATGAAATCATGATTTTTCGATTAAAACAGCAACTTTGCAGTGTTTTTGCTTATGTTTTTTATAGTTGTATTTGCGATTTCTTGGTCTCATTTGATAGAATGGAAGACATATTACAGAAATAGAGATGATTTTGATTGGTTTTAGCATTGGAAATGGCTTGAAACTGAGCTCAAAGTAGCGGAAATGTTAAATTTTTTGCCGATATTCAAGAGTAAACAAACGACCTCACACGTCTAATTACACGTCAGCTGGTGGGTCTAATATACATTCACAAATATGGTGATGATATTTTACAATTATTACAGTATTGCATAATAGTAAATCTTCTATTTTTTGGTGTGAATAAAAATTCATTATGTGAATAAAAAATCAAAATGGAATTTATTTGTAAAGCCTCAAAACATAACTAATGAACAGAGGAAATGTTAGTTTAGTGCCAGGAATGCCTACATTGTTCATTCTGGACCCTATTTTGAAATTGGAATATTTTGAACTTTGTGTTAAATTGGCCAAATTAACAATTTCCGATCATTTTATTTTGTAGTTGAAACAGTTGACTTGGCGATTTCTTGTGCTCAATCGATAGAATAGAAGTAATACTAGTGAAATAGCTAAGAATTTGGTTGATTGGAATAATGTAATTGGCCTAAAATGGGAGTCAAAGTCAGCAAAATCGCCGATTCGTAAATATCGCTGACACATCAAAATTCGCGAGAGCATAATTTCGTCAATTTTCCACCAAATTTTGTACTTTTTGTTTTATTACCTTCACAAAAAGATTCTCTACGATTTCATAAGAAAAAATAACAAATTTTTTTTTTGAAAATTCTTGGACACTGGTGCGTGATTCCAGATTTGGGCCTTGGACCCTGAAAGGGTTAAAACATGGGTTACCTCAATATACCCCAACATAAATAATTACAAACCTACATCTAACCTGCTATTGTTATTCAAAATCTTTGAAAAATTAACCCAAAAGTAATTATACTCTTTACTATCATCATGCAACATACTCAACCCCTGCCAGTTTGGATTCAAACCAAGTAAAAGCACAAACCATGCAATTATAAAAAAGCTAGACATCATAATGCAGTGCTTGAGAACAATGAATATCCATTGGGCCTCTTTGATTGATTGGGGTCCTTTTACCTTATTATTATAATATAAAGGTTATAATATCTTATTATTATTCTATAATGGAGATAACATCTTATTATCATACTAAAAAGACTATCTACTACACGAGGGTCATTAAAACTATCTAATATACGAGGGTCATTACTAGGAATAAGGTAAAATTTACACATATGTTAGCTAAAAAATAGAAAAACATTCCCCTCCCTTTCTGTAGCTATATTTATCAGACACCTTTTGGCACTCTTCTTGAACTGGTTCATGCTATGACTGGCTTTGACATGTGCAGGCAGTCTGTTCCATTCCTTTATTGCTGTACAATAAAAGGTGTTTGAAGCCTGGCCACTGACTGTGGGTACTACAAAGTTGTGTTCTCTCCCCCTAGTACTATGATTGTTCTCTCCCCGTAGTACTATGATTGTTGTCTCCCCCTAGTACTATGATTGTTCTCTCCCCCTAGTACTATGATTGTTCTCTCCCCCTAGTACTATGATTGTTCTCTCCCCCTAGTACTATGATTGTTCTCTCCCCCTAGTACTATGATTGCTCTCTCCCCCTAGTACTATGATTGCTGCGGTTCCCAACCTTGACAAAATTGACAGCAAGACATTCTGGACACTGTGAGCAATTTTATAAACATGATTTAGCTTCAGTTGTTTTACTCTGTCTTCAACATTCAGCATATCCAACTGTTGTAATTCATTCTGGCCTACATGTTCTCTTGGTCCAAGGTCCAGGATGAATCTTACTATCTCTCTGAAGTGCTCCATCCCTCTGAAGCGCTCCATCCCTCTGAAGTGCTCCATCCCTCTGAAGTGCTCCATCCCTCTGAAGTGCTCCATCCCTCTGAAGTGCTCCATCCCTCTGAAGTGCTCCATCCCTCTGAAGTGCTCCATCCCTCTGAAGTGCTCCATCCCTCTGAAGTGCTCCATCCCTCTGAAGTGCTCCATCCCTCTGAAGTGTTCCATCCCTCTGAAGAGCTCCATCCCTCTGAAGTGCCCCATCCCTCTGAAGTGCTCCATCCCTCTGAAGTGCTCCATCCCTCTGAAGTGCTCCATCCCTCTGAAGTGCTCCATCCTGACTGACTTTGGTCAGTTATTGGGTTGTGAAGGACCTGCCTAGTATGGGCCAACAGACCTACTGCAGTGTTCCTTCTTTCTTATGTAAATAAGTCAGTGAGTGTTATGTGTTATCCTGGGTAATGTACACATATGTTGCTATGTATGATAATGTAAGTGTATATATGTATGGAAAATTTTCTAGGGTGCTTACCTGTATGTACCTCAACATTATATACATACCAGTAATCTCATTGGGAGACAACCATATTGTTTACCGTAGTCACCCCGTGTAGACATGTGAGAAAACTTGACCACCCCTGGTCACGGCAGGTGACCCCTTCGACATCACAATCTTATCCATATCTATCCGAGACCAGTATGGATTGGATAGCACCCACAAGTACGGTGCTACTAATTAATTGTGGACTGTATAGATTATATTAGTTTAGCTGAATGAAGGGGAAGGGGGTAGGATACACATGGATACATCCATCAAGGAAAAACATTTGTACATAATCCCACCACTTACCAGATGTTCTCTGGTGATCACTTGATGTAGCTGGATCACTCATAACCTATCCCATTACAACATACCTAACTGGCCAGCATCAGTCTGTTATAACTAGAAGGGTTACTTAACTGTGGGTGATTGATACTCCTTATTTCCTCCATTCACCATCTCATTTCGATGTCCTGCTACACCGACACGGTTCTCATTCCAGCAGGACGAGGTATCCGTTGGTTTGTCCCGCTTTAGAAGTCGTGACTCAATGACCTTCACTTTCCTCATCTCGGGAACAACGAGGTCTAACGTGTTCACTCGGAGCGAGACGACTTATTTCACTTCACGCATTATCTTAACTTAGCATTATTATCATTAATTACATTACAATTCACAAGACGATTTAATGTCTCATAATTATTATACACATTAGAGATCACTCCATTAAAATCTGAGACCGATGAGTGATGATTAACCCTTTGACTGTTTTCGACGTATAAATACGTCTTACGAGCCAATGTTTCTGACGTATATATACTCGATAATTCTAGCGGCTTCAAATCAAGTGGGAGAAAGCTGGTAGGCCCACATGTGAGAGAATGGGTCTGTGTGGTCAGTGTGCACCACATAAAAAAAATCCTGCAGCACACATTGCGTAATGAGAAAAAAAAAACTCTGATCATTTTTTTGGAATAAAACGCCGACTTTGAGGTGTATTTTCGTATAGTATTTATCGTTGTATTCGCGTTTTCATGGTCTTAGTTGATAAAATGGAAAACATATTACAGAAATAGAGATGATTTTCATTACTTTTACGATGAAAACGACCTTGAAACTGAGCTCAAAGTAGCGGAAATGTTCGATTTTTACCAATGTTCAAGAGTAAATAAATCACACCACACGTCCAATACACGTCAACTGGGGAGTCTAATATTCTTTCACTAGTGCACTGATATTATTTATACCATTTTTACAATAATGCAGTCGTCTGCATAACAGTAAATTTTGTATTTTTTTGTATGAATAAAAAATCAAAATAGAAAGCAATAATAATATAAGAGGGGCCTAGAGATGTGACTAATGAACAGAGCATATGTTATTTTAGTGCCACGAAAGTCTACCTTGTTTATTCTGGACCCTATTTTGAAATTGGCATCTTTTTTATTTTGCGTGAAATTGGCCAAATTGCTAATTTCTGACCACCATATTGGGTAGTCCAAATTAGTAAATGGGAGGTTTCTTGTGCTCAGCTGATAGATAAAATGGAGTTCTAAAGAAATAGCTATGAGTTTGGTCAACTGGAACAATGGAATTGGCTGAAAATTGGGCTCAAAGTCGGCGAAATCGCCGATACGCATATGTCGCCGAGACCGCTAACTTCGCGGGAGCATAATTCCACGAGTTTTCGACCAAATTTCGAACTTTTGGTGTCATTACCATCGGGAAAAGATTCTCTATCATTTCATAAGAAAAAATAATTTTTTTTTTTCAAAAATTGAGCGACAGAATGACAGTTTCAGAGAGGGGCCTGAAACAGTCAAAGGGTTAAACCAAGGGTAATTTTCCCCAGGACACAGTCCATGGTGACGCGCCAGTCACCCGGTCCTACCCTTATTCACTCATTTTACCACTTTATTACGGTGGTCCCGTAAATCACGTTCCCTCACTCTCCACCAGGAACAGTTACGACACTTCCTATTATGAAATGAGGCCTATATTAATCCTTAGGCCGCCGTGAATGCCAATTTCGTGGTTCCATGCTTTCCCAGCCTCCTCATCACTTCAAAAACACTAACCACCCCCCCCCCCCATGGCCCGATCCCACCTATCCCCCCCGCACATCCGCGCATGCGCAAAGGGAACTTTTGGGTTCAACTCTATTGTCAAATACATTTTTGACTCATATCGACACATTAAACACCTATTAGGCGCTATAGCTTCGGAAAATCAAAAATTTTCCACACTGCGGCCGGGCGGAGGTC